GTCGAACCATGCCAGCGATTCCGAACATCGTTCAGAGAAAGGAAAAGGAATTTGGCATGGCAGGAAAATTACCTCCAGACGGGGCGGGATCACTTCGTCCGCCTCGCGGAGAGACAAGGACGCTGAGCCAAAGGACGTCGCAACGCGACGCGGGCCGCGATGGGAAGAGTTGGAGGAGCTGAATCCGACCAACTACCTCTTCAAGAAGTTTCTTTCGTACCGAACGTACCGCTTGCGGAACCCGCAGACATATTTGTCAAGTTCCCGGCGGACCGCCGTGCTAAAAATCAGGAGAGATATTCCGCCTAAGGTGAAGAGGGACAACACGTTCACAGGTGAGGACGTGGTCCTTGTGTTGGATTTTTTGGCAAAATTAGTTCAAGAGTTCGATACTCATGAAATGAACGAGGGGCAAGGGATCTGCTTGTTGCCCGAATTTCTAAGCGGCATCGCCTTGAGACAGTACACTTCGGTGTCTCAGACGGCCGGGTCCCATCACGGAAAGGTGTCCGTTTGGCCAGAGGCCGTACAGTGGTTGTTGAGGAGTTTGGCAACCGACGAGGCGATCCGTCAAGCCGTGCTCGCATTGCGACAAGTTCAGCAAAGACCGTCTGAAGACGAGATGGAATTTTATATTCGTCTGACGCACGCGAACAATCGATGTGGAAACGTATATTCGATGGAAGAACAAATGACAATGTTTATTGAAAGACTCGATTCGAGTATCAAGCCAATGGTATCTCAATACCAACAAGACAATCGGGACGTTTCGTTTTTAAGACTAGTTAATTACGCAAAGGCGCATGGCTCGGCGAGCCGCGCTAAGGACAAGAAGACCAAGAAGGTCACGGATCAGACGCCCTCGACGTTCAGGGCGGGGAAGAAACCGAGGGCTTCTTATCCCGGTCGTAAGGGTCACGCCACCGTCCACTTAGCCGAGTCAATCTCCGCGCCAGATGAATGCGGTGCGCGCGGAGACAGCCAAAATCAGTACGAAGGAGTGTAGCATAAACACCCCCAGACGACTGGAGGTGTATGCGCAGTTCGACCTGTAGACCCCGGATCGGAGAAGGGGTGAAGCGGGCCAACCAGCTACGGAACCGGGCTCGGGCCCGGGTAGCGGTGGTAGAGCGGGAGCGAGCAGGGACGCGCGCACGCACGAGCGGATCGACGCCTCGACGCCCCGGAGCAGCACTGGGTGACGTACCAGTGCTGACGGGCGGAGGCGGTTCCGTGCTCGCTCGCGTGCTGCGCGTCCACTCCGGCTCGGCTCCGACTAAACGCGCGCGGAGAGCGAAGGCGACGTTTAGAATAAGCTGGGTGCACTGACCTTGGCGGTCGGTTGAGGACAAGCCCGTGCTTGTCCCCTTCCGCCGCCGTCGGTCCGCTCCATATTTAATATACAAGACAATCTATCATAACACTACAGTACCGAGGTACTGTAGTGGGCTACTGTAGTGCAGGTCGGCCTGCGCTGTAATACTGTCAGCTATGTCGAGGCTGACAGTACACGTATTACTCGTGGTGCGTGCGCGCCTCGCTCGCGCGCTGTACACGTGTGCACGTGTATGCGCGTGTCCCTTGTCCCCGTGTTGTACACGTGGACACGCGCGGTTGTACTGTAGAGCTCGACGCTTTACAGTAGCTGATCTAGTTCTTGATCTAATCTAATTTAAAGCCCCAGAGGGGGGGGGTTATGCTACAAGGAGCATTGGTAGCCGAAGGCAATTTTATTGAGCCATCCGAGGGCTACGGACACGAGGACTACGCGGCAAGCGGTTCGTCAACTCTACCGACGCCCACGTACACGGCGGAGTCGTTTTCAGAGCCTACGGATCCCGTGATGATGTTTGGGGGGCGCGGCCACACGCCGGCGCCGCGCATTCCGATGGAAGACAAGGGTACTACGTTTCGAAGGCCAGGCTGCATGGGGAGGCCGCAACATCAAGGAAGGCCGCCGGCCCGTGGAGGACCTAGGCCGCAATACCCCGTCAAGAAGCACGGACTGGTGTGCTATCATTGTTACGAAAATGGACACGCCGCGCCAACGTGTCTTCTTTCCCTCCGGGAAATGCACCGAGTTTTGGGAAATTATGAGGCGTTGTCTCCGATAGAGAGATTAGGGATACCATCGACGAGTTACCTGAAGGTCAAGAGTTGGTTCCATTCGCAGACGGCGAGCACGCCAAGTGCTTTAACGCCGAGGTCAAACCAACCCTTCCAAGGGCCCGCCGCTGGGCCCGCGTCGTCGGACGTGAGAAGGAACCCGCAGCGGCGGAGAAACTAGAGAGGGGAATCTGGCATGAGTCGCGAGAGGCATAGGGTCGACGTATTGCGTCCGGGACTCAGTCCCGTTCCCCGTCTCTAGCAAGAAGGGAAGGCCTCGATGAGGAGGTTGTTGGATTGGTGGATAAGCCCAAAGGGCCAGCCCAAGTCAAGAGAATTTTGAACCGAGCCCGAGATCATCCGCTGGAAGAAGTTCGAAGGCCCTGGTACAGAGTTAAGCGAAGGGAGCGTCCCGAGAAGATTTTTGTTCTTGCGCGAAAAAACTACAAAGTTTACGCGGACATTGGACCAACAGTCGAATTGATGAGCCGGGTGTTGTCTGTATTAGACACCGGCGCGGGACCAAACCTTGTGCCAAAATCGGAACACCCGGCTGGAATGGAATCTCTAGTGTCCTATGGACCGACCCAAGACATTGGCTACGCGAACAATAGGCCACTCCGGACTCTCGGCACAATTAGAATGCCTGTGAGGCTTGGAAAATTTGTGGCCGCAGCCGAGTTTATTGTATGCGAAAAACTAGCCGTCCCTCTAATTCTAGGCGCGGTCCTACTGTGACCGGTTTGTGGAAGCAATTTATCCAAGGAAGAAAACGGTTGAGGTGGCGGATTTCTCGGAGGTTTCGATAGTTAGGCGGTTCTCGACGATAAAAGAGAAGAAGAAGCTCGTCCCGGGAGAGGACGAGAATGATGGAAAGGTGGGGCGATTCTCCTTTAAGGTAAAAGTGGTAAGAGCCACGACTATCGAGCCAGGGACGCAACGCGTCGTGGAATGCACCTCGAAGAGAGCGGGCTTGGTTGTGGTTCAGCCTTACTCGTCGTTGTACGAAAGGCACGCGTTGACGTGCACGAATGGTGTCGTTCAGGTTGAGCCTGACAGGCCATTTCGTTTACTCGTTGTGAATTTTAGGACGTACCCTGTCAGGGTGCAAAAAGGCCAAGTCGGCGTAGAATTATTACCGCACCTGAGAGCCGCCCTCGAGAGCAAAACAACCATTGGTGAATTTCTCGGAATTCAAGAAAGGACGAAGGAAAATTTCCCTAATGACACCAAGACGCCTACGGGCGAGACAAGATGCGAACCGTCGGGTCAAGCGCGCGAGGACCAGCCAGAAGAACGGTCGAGTGGGCTCTCTGCGACGGTGCGACGGCATCGTCGAAGCCGGAGCAGCGGATTGAGCCCCCACCGCCGGGCGTGGAGGACCTCGACCTGAGCCACGTACCGGAACGGCTGAGCGAGCGGTTCCGTCGGATGTTGAAGAAGTGTTCAGGGATGTGGGATGGGACGCTTGGTGAAATAAATACCACAGTCCATCGGATCGAGTTGATCCCCGAGACTCGTCCCATCGCACAAGCCCAGTATCGGGCCGGGCCTAAAGCCCGCGAAGTAGAAGATGCAGAAGTACAGAAGATGTTAGAAGCAGGATTCATCGAACCGGCGCAGTCAGAATGGGCGTCGCCCGTTTTATTAGTGCCGAAGCCCGACGGATCAATGCGTTTTTGCATAGACTACCGCTGGCTGAACGCAGTGACTGTGAAGGACACGTACCATTTGCCGCGCATAGATGAGTGTCTAGACTCGCTTGGTGACACCAAGGGTTTTTCGCGTTGGACGCGACCTCGGGATATTGGCAGATGCCTATCCCTGAGTGCGACCGCGACTTCAAACGCAGACCGAGCTCAGGGGCTTCTTGGGACTTTGTAATGTCTACCGCAGATTCGTTCCGCATTATGCGAAAATTGCGCATCCTCTAAACCAACTACTGAAGAAAGGACAATCGGTCGACTTGGAAGGATTCGACGAACCATGCGAAAAAGCTTTTCATAAGCTCAAGGACGCCATCTTGGCGCCACCGTTGTTGGCGCTGCCGAAGAAGAACCTACCATACTCGGTATACACCGACGCAAGCGACTATCAAATCGGCGCTGCATTATTTCAAACCGGCGCTGCATTATTTCAAACGCATCCGGATGCGCAACGTAAACCCATCCGGTTCTTTTCAAGAACGTTAGCCGCAGCCGAGAGAAACTATTCTGTATCAAAAAAAGAATGTCTAGCAGTAATTTGGGCCGTACAGACTTTAAGACCATATCCATATGGCGAGCACTTCATTGTGCATACCGACCATGCCTCATTGAGGTGGTTGATGAACGTAAAAGACCCCAGCGGGAGATTAATCCCATGGAGGCTCCGCCTCTCGGAATTTGATTTCGAAATCAAGTACAAGAGGGGCAAGGCGAATAGTCAAGCTGATGCCCTGTCAAGATTACGGACCGCTGGAGAAACCGTCCACGAAATCGACGACGAAATTCCATGCTTTATGTCCGAACGGCCGACGGTACAGTGGAGGACGAGGAAAATTTTGACGCGTTAGACGACATCCTCGCTCTTGAGGGGGGGACCGCCCCCGATCGCCTCGATCAATTCCAAGCTGTCACTCCGGAGAAGCTCATTCGCGAGCAAGCCATCGACCCCTTCTGCAATCGCATCAAGGAAGAATGGACGCCGGAAAGGTGAGAACGTTCAGCATGGAGACCGAGGAACTCGAAGGAACTCTATGCCGTACCGCGGCGGAGTTTGTACAAGTGGTGATACCACAATCGTTAAGGGATGGCGTACTAGGGTTGAGCCACTACGCAAAATTGGCAGGCCACCCGGGAGGCAGGAAACTTTACAAGACATTGAGAAGATATTTTTACTGGCCTACGATGGCCCTAGACCGCTACGCAGTCGTGTTCGTGTTCAGTGACAATTCCTTCCCCCTTCTGAAGATCTTCAAACTCGTCCACTTCTGCCGGGTTTTTTGACTCGCGTGAGTCTTGCGGAGTATCCGCTGACGGTAACTCGGTAACTAGATCTTCAGGATCCTCTCGCGGAGGAGTGTGTACATGGAGGCTACCCCCATTTTCGAAAACATTCTGTCCTTCGTCTCCATCTGTCCCATCAAGGAACCGTAGCGCTTGTGTTAAGCCGGTGACCGGCGCGTAGTCCATCGGACACGGGGCTAGTTCTACCCCGTCTCGCGAAACACCATCTTCTTGGTCGCCGATGGCAATGACGACAGTACCTTGATCAGACCTCTTCACTGCGTAGGGTCCCGTAGCGACTTGAGCCAACTTATGTTTCGGATCGGTGGCCGTGCCTTGCTCTTTCGGAAGGAATACGTATGATCTTGAAGGGATGTCATACTTCGACTTGCGGAGCCTTGCGTCGAAATTTCGCTTGTAGCGCGCTTGTTCTTTCCGCAAGCTCTTACCAGCGCCTTTCATCAGGCTTTCCAACCACGACTGCCATTTCAGGTAGTACGCTCGATTCGAGCTAAATCCTTCTAAACTTGGCTGTGCTTGTAACGCAATGCTTCTCGGCGCCCGAGCTAACACCAGCTTGAAAGGCGCGATGTTCGTAGTTCGATGAACTTGCGTGTTGTATGCGAACGTCACAGCGTCGCTAAATAGTTCCCGGTCCTTGGGATGCTCTCCAACATATTTTGGCAACGCGGAAGTCAGCGTGCGGTTAAACCTCTCAACTTGGCCGTTGGCTTGCAGGTGGTACGTAGTCGTGAACACATTACGTATGCCGAGAATTCGGTAGACATTCTGAAAGAACCGGGCCGTGAACTGTGTTCCATTGTCGGACAGCACCTTGACCGGCGGTCCGTACACGAATACCCAATGGTGAACGAAGACTTGTGCGATGTGCAGCTGATATCTTCTTCAACGGTACGGTTCGTACTGGTTTCGAGTATCGATCGCTGATCACGAGAATATACCGATTTCCTCGTTTAGTTGTAATTAGCTCGCCGAGGATGTCGATGGCGACAAACTCCAGCGGAGCTTTGGGCGTGAACAGCTTCATTTCCTTCGTGTTTCTTCTTAACTTCACCCTCTCCCGCGCGCATGCGGCGCAATTCTTCGCGACTGCATAGCAGTCTAGGGCCATCGTAGGCCAGTAAAAATATCTTCTCAATGTCTTGTAAAGTTCCCTGCCTCCCGGGTGGCCTGCCAATTTTGCGTAGTGGCTCAACCCTAGGACGCCATCCCTTAACGATTGTGGTATCACCACTTGTACAAACTCCGCCGCGGTACGGCATAGAGTTCCTTCGAGTTCCTCGGTCTCCATGCTGAACGTTCTCACCTTTCCGGCGTCCATTCTTCCTTGATGCGATTGCAGAAGGGGTCGATGGCTTGCTCGCAAATGAGCTTCTCCGGAGTGACAGCTTGGAATTGATCGAGGCGATCGGGGGCGGTCCCCCCCTCAAGAGCGAGGATGTCGTCTAACGCGTCAAAATTTTCCTCGTCCTCCACTGTACCGTCGGCCGTTCGGACATAAAGCATGGAATTTCGTCGTCGATTTCGTGGACGGTTTCTCCAGCGGTCCGTAATCTTGACAGGGCATCAGCTTGACTATTCGCCTTGCCCCTCTTGTACTTGATTTCGAAATCAAATTCCGAGAGGCGGAGCCTCCATGGGATTAATCTCCCGCTGGGGTCTTTTACGTTCATCAACCACCTCAATGAGGCATGGTCGGTATGCACAATGAAGTGCTCGCCATATGGATATGGTCTTAAAGTCTGTACGGCCCAAATTACTGCTAGACATTCTTTTTTTGATACAGAATAGTTTCTCTCGGCTGCGGCTAACGTTCTTGAAAATAACCGGATGGGTTTACGTTGCGCATCCGGATGCGTTTGAAATAATGCAGCGCCGGTTTGAAATAATGCAGCGCCGATTTGATAGTCGCTTGCGTCGGTGTATACCGAGTATGGTAGGTTCTTCTTCGGCAGCGCCAACAACGGTGGCGCCAAGATGGCGTCCTTGAGCTTATGAAAAGCTTTTTCGCATGGTTCGTCGAATCCTTCCAAGTCGACCGGTTGTCCTTTCTTCAGTAGTTGGTTTAGAGGATGCGCAATTTTCGCATAATGCGGAACGAATCTGCGGTAGACATTACAAAGTCCCAAGAAGCCCCTGAGCTGGATCTGCGTTTGAGGGTACCTCACTTGTTCCAACGCCGGATGCGAGCGGCATCAACCTCCGATGTACCTGGCCGAACGACATGGCCCAGGTACTTGATCTTTTCCACGAAAATATCGCACTTGCAAAGCTTGAGCTTCACGCCTGCCTTTTCCAATACACAAAGTATTTCATCCACGTGCACGATGTGCTCCTCCCACGACTTGCTAAAATTTATTATCTCATCCAGATACACCAAACAGCATTTCGAACGGAACGGAGAGAGTAGGATATCCATTGCTCTCTGGAACGTCGCTGGCGCGTTGGTTAGTCCGAAGGGCATTCTTGAGAAGCGATACAGACTTGAGTGACACGAAAATGCGGTCTTGTCGCGGTCGCACTCAGGGATAGGCATCTGCTAATATCCCGAGATGGCGTCCAACGCGGAGAAAACCTGGGTGTCACCAAGCGAGTCCAGACACTCATCCATGCGCGGTAAAGGGTACGTGTCTTTTACCGTTACCGCGTTTAACCTGCGGTAGTCTACCTAAAAGCGCATCGATCCGTCCGGCTTGGGCACTAATAAAACGGGCGACGCCCATTCTGACTGCGCCGGCTCGATGACTCCTGCTTCTAACATCTTCTGTACTTCTGCGTCCTCGACCTCCCGAGCCTTTGGACCGGCTCGGTAGGGAGTTTGCGCAATTGGCCTTGTATCCGGGGCCAGTTCAATCCGGTGGACCGTGGTGTTGATCCCACCAAGGGTCCCATTCCACATGCGGGAATATTTTTTTAACATCCGACGGAATCTCTCGCACAGCCGGTCCAGCACAGCTCAGGTCGAGCTCCTCCACGTTCGGCGGGGGAGGCTCAATCGGCCGCTCCGGCTTCGTAGTTGCCGTCTCGGAGAGCCGTTCGTCCCGTTCTCCTTGCTGGTCCTCGAGATCTTGTTCCGACGGTTCGCACCTTCTCTCACCCGTAGGCGGGGGGGTGGAATTAGTAAATTTTTCTTCGTCCCTTTCTTGAATTCCGAGTACCTCACCAATGGTGGAATTCCTCTTCAATACGGCCCTCGGGTGCGGTAGTAGTTCCGCCACCACTTGGACTTTTTGAACCCTGACAGGGTAATTTGTAAAATTCGCTACAAGCAATCTAAAAGGTTTGTCAGGCTCAACCTGAACGACACCGTTGGTGCTTACCAATCCGTGCTTGTCGTATAGGGGTGCGTAGGGTTGAACTACGACCAAGCCCGTCGTCTTTGAGGTGCATTCGACTACGTGTTGCGTCCCTGGCTCAATGGTCGTGGCTCTTGTCACCTTCACCCAGGGGGAAACTCGCTCCCCTTTTGCATCAGTTTCGCCCTCTCCGGGGACCAGATGTTTCTTCGATTTTCTCGCCGAGAACCGCCTTACGATCGGAACCTTCGAGAAATCCGCCAATTCAACTGTCCTCTTTCGCGGGTAGATAGCCTCCACGAACTAATCGCAATAGTCCGCTCCTAGAATCAGCGGTACCGCGAGCTTTTCGCACACAATAAACTCGGCAGCAGCCACAAATCGTCCAAGTCTCACGGGCATCTTGATGGTTCCGAGAGTCTGGAGTGGCCTGTTGTTCGCGTCGCCAATGTCTTGGGTCGGTTCGTAGGACACTAGAGATTCCATTCCAGCCGGGTGTTCCGATTTTCGCGCAAGGTCTGGTTCCGCGCCGATGTCTAATACAGACAACACCCGGCTCATCAATCCGACTGTTGGTCCAATGTCCGCGTAAACTTTGTAGTTTTTTCGCGCAAGAACCAAAATCTTCTCGGGACGCTCCCCTCGCTTAACCCTGTACCAGGGTCTTCGAACTTCTTCCAGCGGATGATCTCGGCTCGGCTCAAAATTCTCTTGACTTGGGCTGGCCCTTTGGGCTTATCCACCATTCCAACAACCTCCTCATCGGGGCCTGATTTTTCCCTTAGAGACGGGGAACGGGGACGAGCCCCGGGCACAGTACGTCGACCCTGTGCCTCTCACGACTCATGCGAGATTCCCCTCTCTAGTTTCTCTGCCGCTGCGGGTTCCTTCTCACGTCCGACGAAGCGGGCCCCGCGGCGGGTCCTCTGAAGGGTTGGTTCGGCCTCGGCGTTGAAGCACTCGGCGTGCTCGCCGTCTGCGAATCGAACCAATTCTTGACCTTTAGATAACTCTTCGATGGTATACCTAACGTCTTCATCGGAGACAACGCCTCATAATTTTCCAACACTCGGTGCATTTCCCGGAGGGAAAGAATGCAGGTTGGCGCGGCGTGCCCCTTTTCGCAACAATGATAGCACACCAGTCCGTGCTTCTTGATGGGATATTGCGGCCTAGGTCCTCCACGGGCCGGCGGCCTTCCTTGATGTTGCGGCCTCCCCATGCAGCCTGGCCTTCGAAACGTAGTACCCTTGTCTTCCATCGGAATGCGCGGCGCCGGCGTGTGGCCGCGCCCCCCAAACATCATCACGGGATCCGTGGGCTCTGAAAACGACTCTGTCGCGTATGTGGGCGTCGGTAAAGTTGACGAACCGCTTGCCCAGTAGTCCTCGTGGCCGTAGCCCTCCGATGGCTCAATAAAATTGCCTTCGGCTACCAATGCTCCTTCATAATGATTTTCGCTGGTTCCGTGCGCACCGCTTTCATCTCACGCGGGGATTGACTCGGTTAAGTGGACGGCGGCGTGACCTTTACGACCGGGATAAGAAGCCCTCGGTTTCTTTCCCGCCCTGAACGTCGAGGGCGTCTGAATCGTGACCTTCTTGGTCTTCTTGTCCTTAGGGCGGCTCGCCGAGCCATGCGCCTTTGGGTAATAAACTAGTCTTAAAAACGAAACGTCCCGATTGTCTTGTCGGTATTGAGATACCATCGGCTTGATACTCGAATCGAGTCCTTCAATAAACATCGTCATTTGTTCTTCCATCGAATATACGTTTCCACATCGATTGCTCGCGTCCGTCAGACGGATATAAAATTCCATCTCGTACTCAGACGGTAGCTGCTGTACTTCTCGCAATGCGAGCACGGCTTGACGGATCGCCTCGTCGATTACAAAACTCCTCAACAACCACTGTACGGCCTCCGGTCAAACGGACACCTTTCCGTGATGGGACCCGGCCGTCTGAAACACAGACGTGTACTGTCTCAAGGCGATGCCGCTTAGAAATTCGGGCAACAAGCGGATCGCTTGCCCCTCGTTCATTTCTTGAGTATCAAACTCTTGAACTAATTTTGCCAAAAAATCCAACACAAGGACCACGTCCTCACCTGTGAACGTGTTGTCCCTCTTCACCTTAGGCGGAATATCTCTCCTGATTTTTCGCACGGCGGTCCGCCGGGAACTTGACAAATATGTCTGCGGGTTCCGCAAGCGGTACGTCCGGTACGAGAGTAATTTCTTGAAGAGGGAGTTGGTCGGATTCAGCTCCTCCATCTCTTCCCATCGCGGCCCGCGTCGCGTTGCGACGTCTTCTGGCTCAGCGTCCTTGTCTCTCCGCGAGGCGGACGAAGTGATCCCGCCCCGTCTGGAGGTAATTTTCTTGCCCTGCGAAATTCCTTTTCCTTCCTCTGAACGGTGTTCGGAATCGCTGGCACGGTTCGACGAACCGTCGTCACCATCTTCGGAAAGGCCATTCGACTCGGTCATTGAGTCTTGGTCCTCCGGCTCGTCACTACCGTGACTCTTGCTCCGGCGTCGCAGATTCTTCTTCGAAGTATTCGACTTGGAACTCCGCTGTACCGCGGCCTTGTCCTTCTTCGATCGACAGTCGCCTTCTCGACCCGTTGCGAGCGGCTCTTGCCCGGCGACCTGTTCAAGGTCCTTGAGGCGATGAGCGGCGCGGTCGAACCTGTCGTCGATACTGCTTCTAAATTTACCTAAGGACTCCAAAGCTTGATTCGCGTCGCGCCTTGCGTCTTTGACTGAAATTTTCAACGAAGCTAGGACCTCCGGCTCCGGACTGTCGGTCGCATCACCTCGCTCCTTCTCGACGAGATCCACTCGAGCCGATAGCTCTCCTAAGACGGTGTGGAACTCGGGTGCTTGCAACTCCAGTTGCTTCCGAACGAGGGCTAATTCAGACTCGGGATTTTTCGTCATCTCTTGGCGAATTTCCTCGCCCATCTTCTCGAACCTGTGGGATAGGTTATCCTTGTCGGCTTCAATTCCCGACGGGGATTCTTGACCTTCGAGATCCGTGGCCGTATTGGCCTGGCTTCGGGGACCTCGCGGGATCCTCGACGCCCTTGCCGATCCGCTCCTACTCGCCCCGGAACCAACGTCCCCGGGCGCGCTTGTCCACATTGCTCGTACGAGCGAACCTACACAAAAAAAGTTACAAACAAAAAATAAAATAGAGACTCCGTTGCCCAGACCACTTTTATAGTGCAACTGCAGACCGAGGCTGTCGTCGACACAATTCTAGGTCGGGTTTTCTGTAGACAATTCTAGGTCGGGAGACCACTTTTGTAGTGCAATGCGCCTGTTAGGCACAGACCAAGGTCCGACGGTCCAACACAAACAACAACAACAAAACAACAACTGCCAACGGCACAGCGCTACGGAGTGTTCGAAGCTCCCTGTCCTCTTTAAGCGGGTTTGCGGCCCGCAGTAGCTCGGATCCCTGATAGGGGAGCAAAGAGAAGGGCCCAGCCCAGGATCGGTAAATGGTGGTAGAGACTTGTAAAGGCAACTGCTCGACGAGTTCGGAGGGGTGTCTAGGTAAACGTGGTCCGATGGGTCGTAAATCCAATGCTCGAAGAGCGCCTTGTACACCTTATACCCTTGATAAGGTTTTCGACGGGGACGTCGCAACGTAGCCCGTCGGGAAAGAAGAAAACGTAGCAGCGCTACACCGTCGTACTGCCCGATGGCAAAGTACCAACACCGGATCGGTCGCAACCAGATTCCGATGGAACCAACGCTGAGAAAAGCACCACTGGTGTACCAACACAGAAGCCCGATGGCTAATGACGTCACGTTGCGGATCGCAATCCTAAAAGGTGGGACCAACTCAAGATTAAGGTAAATTAGGATAGGGAAATAAAGGAAGATTGAGAAGGAAAAAGGGGACCCCCGAGCGCAAAGGATACCGTAGGCTAGAGTAGAAGGGAATGTCTTGTAAAAGACGGACTTCGACCAAGGCGATATCAAACTCTGGCAACTCAGGTTACCTTTACTGACTTGGTGGTCAAAGGGCTAAGGCATGTATCGCCCCGCCGGAGCCACTAAAGTAGCTTGCGGCGCTAGATCCTAGATCTAATCTAGTGTCAGCAACATTAATGCCAACTAATTAACTAAATAAAATAAAATAATTAAAAATTAAAACTGTGCAATTATTCACCCGTGTGTCTCCCAACCCGGACTACTTTTCATATCCAAATATTTTCCTTCTTTTCACCC